TCTGGATCAGTAGTGTGTTCAGTATTATAAAGGTTAAGACGAACATCTTGTTGAAAGTAGAAATATGGGTTGTAGGTAGGGATGGGACACTGTGCAGGCTGCGCAGTATTTCACTGCGCAGCCTGCGCAGGCTGCGCAGCATTTTAGAAAGACTGCGCAGTGTAATTTTTGTAATTCGGGCCAGCTATTATAATTCTGGTAAGTTTGTATAATGCTGGCTTAAATAATTTTCTATATGTATTAATGTACGTAGTACTTTGCAAACAAATACCCGAATTGGAATTTATTTTATTTATTCAGCCACACGTAATTAATATTAATTCGGATATTTGTTTGTATGTAATACATATGCATATAAAAAGTATTACTTTAAATTTTTCTATAATTAGTAAGTGGTATCACAGTTCTATATTAATAAATAAATTTTATAATTTAAATTTTTACTTTGCGAACTTAAATTTTTAAGATGCCGCACAAAATTTGGAGTCATTTTACAAAGCTTGGACTAACTAAAGATTATAAACAACCACGTGTTAAATGTAATTATTGTGGAAATGAATGTAACGACAATGTTATTAGATGTGAAGGACATTTAAAAATATGCGAAAAAGTAGATTTGACAATTAGACAGCAATATTTTGATTTAGTTGCAAAGCAGTTTAAAAGCAATCAAGCTAGTGTAGCTAATCAAATATACAAAATTTCTTGGATAGAAGTTCAGAATCTGAACAAAAAAATCTTGAATTAGCATTTGCTCAAGCTATTTTTCAATGTGGTTTACCATTTACTCTTTCAGATGCAGAGCCAATTAAAGAATTATTTAAAAAAATGCGACCTTCATTTAAATTGCCTAATAGAAAAAAACTTTCAACTACTTTATTAGAAACAGTATACTCAGATACTAAAATTCAAGTTGATACAATGATTGAACAAGCAGAATTTATTAGTATTATTAGCGATGGTTGGTAAAAATAATTTTATATTTATATTTGTTATATTTTTCCTAAAATAAATTATTTTTATTAACAATTTTAAATAAAACAAATTGATTTTAAATTTAGGAAATAGATATTTTTACATCTCTAATTTTATTTTTATACCTTATAATTTTTTAATTAAATTCTATAGAATTATATGATTTAAATAAAGATAGTTTATCAAATTTTATCAAGTAGTTATTAAGGTATTATTAATTAAAGTTATAGAGAATTTTTTATACTTTATATATTTAATAGATTTTAAAATATTCTTAAAACATTGATCAATAATATTTCAATAACTAATTAATGAAATTTAATGAATTTTTTTTATTTAAATTCTATAGATTTATAGAAATTAAATAAAAAAATTCATCAAATTTTATTAAACAATTGTCAAGATATTATTAATTAAAGTTATAAAAAATTTTTTATATGATATATTTTGATAAATATTAAATTTTTTTAAAAAATTTAATTAATAATATCTCAAAAACAATCTAATAAAATTTAATAATTTTTTTAATTTTATAAATCTATAGAATTTAAATAAAAAAATTTATTAAATTTTATTAAATAGTTATTAAGATATTATTAATTAAAGTTTTAAAAAAATAAATTATTAAGGTATAAAATAATAAGTGTAGAAATATTAGTTACTTAAATTAATTATAAAAATAATATATTAATAAAATATAATAATGATATTTATTAACCTAATTTTTTTATTTATTAATTAATTAGGTCAAATTTAGTTTGTGAACATTGGACAAATTTTCTTCTAGCAATTCCTAATCCAGTTTTTATATCAGCAAAACCAACTGGTGAAATTCAACAAAATGGTATTAATATTGCAAATGATATAGAAGATATTATTTGTTCTTATAATATAGAAAAAATTTCAGCTATTATTACAGATAATGCTTCTGTAATGAAAAAAGCATGGAATATTTTAAAAAAAAAATATCCAAAAATTATCTATTTAGGATGTTTGGCATATAGCATAAATTTACTTATTAATGATATTATTAAATTAGATTGGGCACAAAATATTTTATCAAATACAATATTAGTTATAAAATTTTTTAAACAACATACAATTCCTGCAGCAATTTTGAAAAGATATCAAAAAACAAATTATGGTTCAAAATATAAAACACTTAAATTTCCAGTTAAAACTAGATGGGGTTCTGCAGCAATATGTTTGGATTCTATTAAATCTAATCAATTAGCAATTAATTTAGCTGTAACAGAACTTATTAATCATCAAACTTCTACTATTGATTTAGAAATTAAAAATATTGTTCAAGATAGTAATTTTTGGATTGAAATTCAAAATTTATTAGGTATTTTAAAAGTTTTAGCTGATGGAATAACTAAATTTGAAAGTGATACTTCAAAAATATCAGAATTTTATAAATGGTATGAGGATCTTGAAACAAATGAAAGTAAGAATTAAATTTTAAAATTTTTAATTAAAATTTTTATTAATATATAATTTTTAATATTTTAAAATATTTTAAATAAAATAATTATCAAATATTTGTTTTATTAAAAAATTCTATTAAGTCTAAAATTATTAAAAGTTAATTATAAAATTCTAAAATTAATATTATTTTAGATATTTAAAAATTAGTTTATATTTAAATTAATATATATTATTAATAATCTTAGAATTTTGTAATTAAAATTTAATAATTTTAAACTTATTAAATTGTTTTATTAAGATTAATATTGATAATTATTTTCTTTAAAAGAAACTAGTAAATTAAAAGTTATTTATTATTAAATTTTAACTATTTATAAATATATATTAATAATATTATTTATTTATAATAAATAATTTAATTATTATATTTTATTTATTTATAAGAAATAATTTAATTGTTATATTTTATTAATTATATTTATTATTTTTTATAGATTTAAATAAAAGTTTGGCTTATGAGACAATTCTTGATATTATTACTGAAAGATGGAATATTATTTATGATCCTGTAATAGAAATAGCATATTTATTAGATTCAAGATTTCAAGGCAAAACTTTAACTAATGATATTATGACAACAGTATCTGATTTTATTAAAAAATTTTATCCTGAAAATAGTACAAAAATTTACAGTCAATTATTAGAATATTTAGCACAAACTGGTCCTTTTAATAATAGTTTAGCTTGGGAAACTATACATACTACTGATCAATTAACATGGTGGACTGGAAATTTTAAAAATTCTGCTCCAGAACTTACACAATTTGCTAAAAGAATTTTAACCATTCCTACATCATCTGCTTCATCTGAACGTAATTGGTCTGTATTTGCTTATATATATTCAAAAAGTAGAAACAGACTTAAATCTCCAAAAATATTTCAATTAGTTTATATTTATAGTAATTATCGACTAAAAAATCTAAAATCTATTAATCAAAAAAAATTAGATTATATAAAAAATAATAAATCTAATTTAGATGATAATTTTTGGGAAAATTTATTTACTTTAAATGAAGATGAATTAGATTTATTAGATGATGATAATGAATTAAATTTATTAAATGAAGATAATGAATTAGATTTATTAGATGAAGATAATGAATTAGATTTATTAAATGAAGATGAAGATATGGAATTAGAATCAAATAAACTTGATGAAATTCAAAGTTTTGATAAAAATTTTGAATAATTAAATAATAAAATTATTTATTATTTAATTTTAAATTTAGAACTATAAAAAAATAAAAATAAAAAAATAATAAAAAATTAAAAAATTAAAAAAAAATTAAAAATAAAAAAATATTAAAAAAATTAAAATAAATAAAAATAAAAAAACAATAAAAAATTAAAAAATAAAAAAAAAATTAAAAATAAAAAATAAATAAAAATATATATTAAACTAAAATTGGCAAAATCTATTAAATTTAAATTTAATATAAAAATTATATTATAAAATTGGCAAAATTTGATTAAAAATTATATATATTTTTTTAATGTTATTCTAAAAATATCTAGAATACTAGTAAGATTTTTTATGATTTATAAATTTTGTTATTTTATATTTATAGAATTAACAAAATTAAATATGTTATTTAAATAAGATTATAAGCTAATAAATACAATTATAAATATAAGAAATAAATATATGATGTGAAAATTTTATAAGATTATTATCTTAAATTTTTATTTTTAAATAATTACACTATGTAATACTGCAAAATAAAAAATTAACTTTGTATGACCTAATATATTTATTTCTATAAAGGTTGTCAAGTTGGATCATAAGAAATTGTCTTATTCTATGAATGTAATTAGCTTTATGCTTAGTAAAAAGGTATGAACTGGTTTTATTTGTAAAACAAACAATTAACAGCTTACTTGATTTGTTCATTCTTAACTTAACTCAACAAAATAACTGTTCAAGGCTAAATAAACATTCTTCAAGTTTGTAAAAGTCATACTGACCTGTAACTTTGTATCTAACATTTATAACTGGTTTTTAAGAAATATATAAGAATTTTAATGAAATAAATTTATAGTGTGAATAATGGGTTGACAAATTAAATGTACTTTTTTTATTGTGCTTATACATTAACAATTAATAATTATATTCAAATTATCGAAATAGAGCTAAATCATAGGCTTTTTTAAGTGTAATTATTTTAATTTTGGGCTCTTGTTAGTAATTCTTTTCATTTTAGGGCCCTTATCTGCAAATTCCCTTTAAAATTATATAATACAGATCATTACATGACTTGTTTGTATAAAATAACAGATTAAATTGAAAATTTACTATAGTATGAAAACTAGCTGCAGATAGGCTGTGCAGGCTGCGCAGGCTGCGCAGCCTGCGCAGTAGTTTTAAAAAATTCATGATTTTTCCATCTCTAGGTGCATGACCGTGCAGTTGCACAAAAAACAAAAAATTAAAAAAAAAGATCAAATAATATCGAAATGAAAAAAATAGATCGAAATAAAAAAAAAAGAGTAAAATAAAAAAAGTCGAAATAAAAAATCAAAATAAAAAAAATAGAAATAATCTTGCTAGTATGATTGGCTGCTTAATGCGTAATCTATTTTTGTTACACAACTATTCAAATAAAGGTATATGGCATTACATCCAGAAAATGCAACAACTACATTTTTGATATTTTGAATATAAATGCATCAAAAACGAATTTTTGTTATTAAAAGACGCAGAAGTATAAGTTTGTTGCTTCGTTCCAAACAAAAATATATAATGTAATTTTATTTCATACCATATGCAACAACATTCTAACAAAATATCTCACTATTGCTAAACACAAATCACATCTTTCTAGATCAATCTCTAATAGTATTATATTAAATCTATATTTATATAATATTTGTAAAATTATTATTCTCTGTACTATTGGTTAGAAATAACCACCTCTATTAAAACTTAGAGTTAGGGTGTTGCTTTAAGATAAATAGAGGTTTTTATGTAAAATAATTTTTTAAATAACATGATATAGATTGGGTATCAGGTCCTGATCTTAGTTCTTGTGAGGTTTTCAGGGGTTCTAAACATTTTTACTTAACCTACCTGACCTCTGTTTTATAGTGCAGTTTTTGAGATATAGCATACTGGTTATTCTTAACCACTGGCACAAGTTAAAAATATCCATATTTGTAATATCTGAAATATACAACTACAACACCATATTTCTAATTTTCTGCTATATATCAATGATCCTAATATATTAGATACTACTACTCGAATTAGACTACAACAACTCCAGAATAACTTATGGTCTAGAATTAAAATATTATACATTCTAACCTATAATTGATGGACCTAACAAATTCACTCTCAATTGCAGAATCATACAACTTCTTGCTCACTTACAATTAAATATCACAGCTAATTTCAACTTTTTATGGCCTCATACTATTCAGTATGATCTACAACCACTAGAGTTAATTTTTAAAAAACATCGTAAATATATTACCTTTAAACAACAACCCAGAAAGCATAAAATTCTTTATCTTGAACAACTCTGTATAGCAGATGATATAAATCTACTAGATTGAACACATCTATTTCCCAGACTTAAACACATTCCCAAAGGTAAACTACCTTTGTAGTTTAGTACATTAGAAGACTTAGTACTCAAAGATAAATATAACTATATACTACTTAACCAGTACCAACAAACAGGAACTAATGTTTTTGCTATTAGTTCTTATTTTATTCCTAAAAAATCTAAACCCTGGATAATTACTATTAATGACAAAGAAATTATTCTTGAAAAAATTCGTAAACAGTATCCAGATACTAAAAAAGTCTCTATTACACATTGGCAAGCAAATTTTGATTTTAGTATCACTAATTGCTACCTACTTCTACAATTAATTGTTCACTTTGTTCAGAATACCATCTCAATTCTAATAGATTATATTCAGCTTGTATCTTAAAAATATTTACTATTACATCTGCTAAATTCTTTAAAAAAACATTTAACAATCAACTTAAATTTAACACTAATTATGTGGACCTTATTTTTTCTACAGCTATTAAAAATCTATTACCAAACCTGGCTTTACCAACACCACCTACTATTTCAATAATAGACTCAATCATAACTTCAATCTTTCACCCTAGAGAAATAAGAAACTAACTCAAAGAAATATTAATTAATAACTTAAACTCTAATCTATTTAATTTCTATATCGATGGATCTGTTATTAACATTGGTACTGGCCAATTCTCTATAGAAATTGGCTAGTTTTAAGTTAATAATAATAATCAAATAACCTGTCACTTTAATGCTCAAATTAATCTCTGGCCATCTTCCTATAAGGCAGAACTTTTGCTATTTTATTAGCTATTTCTACAACCTCTGCAACTCTGTAATTAATATTTATACAGACTCTCAATCTGTTATTTCTAAATATTACAAACTTATATCTTCTACCTTCAACCTAAACAAACTTTTTAAATTTAATGCTTAGCTATTATAACATATACTTCTTAATATCATAAAATCCTATTCTCTTCATATAACTTTTCATAAAGTTCAAGCCCATACAGATAACATTTTTAATAATTTAGCAGACTTCCTTGCTAAACAACATATTGCTACTCCATAACTTGAATTCAATTATACCAATATTTATAATCTATATCATATATTACAATATGAAGAAGTAAAATTTTTTGTTGAACAATCAACTCGACCTTTATTAAAACTATTTGCAAAGCCTATATTCTAGCAATATAGTCATCCCAGCAATATAATAAACAATAGTTTCAAGCAAATGACAGAATTAATTAGCGATCTACTTGGTTATACTTTAACCATAACCACAAACCTATCTACAATATTATAAACTTCAAACTTAATCAACTCAAATTATTTAAAATCAAAACTCTACTAAATGAATTACCTACTCACTTACATCAATATACTCTTTATCCTACTATCTTTCAAAATACTAACTGTTTCTATTGTAGAGCATTAGATTTTTCTTTATATTGGCTTAAATGTTCTAATTCAATACTACTTCAATATATAATCTATATCAGTATGAATAATTATATCTACTCTAATAAACTAGATTTGTCAGCAGATCAGAAGGCTAAACTTATCTACTAATTACGACATCATAAAGCATTTAATGCTGTAGCAATACAGCCTTTATTACATTATTTAGAACTTACAATTAAAGGTTTAATTCCTAACTTCATAGTACAAACAGTCTAAAATTTCTATATATTCTATAAACAAACATCTTATATCATAATTGAATCATTATTAAAAGTTAATGAACAAATATATAAACAACTTTGGAAATTCTACTGCATCAATTACTCTAATTAAAAAAAACAACAACAAATAATGTATCCTTTCTCCAAGCCAAAAGATTCATCATCAACTGCCAATAGAAAAAAATGCTCTTGAATTAACTATATATATTCTTGCCAATGCAGAATAGCAGACTAATTACATTCTTACTTAGGTACTTGTTCTCCTGTAGGCCAAGCTAAAGAACAAATTAATATTTAGTATAAATATTGAATTAAATATAATACAATTTTAAACTTTATTTTAACTTTAAAAACCTAGGTAAGTCTTTGACTACTCTATGGGTTTAAGTCACAGATAAATATGTCTGAGCTTCTATTCTTGCATATAATTTTTATTTTTATTTGTACTTGTACAAGTAGTAGTATCTCTATATTTAATATAGTTACTAGTTTTAAAATTACTAATAAAGATATAAGCAAGGCCTCACCTCAATACCAAAAAAAAAAAATATACAATAATAAAGTTATCAATTAAAGATATCACCATAAAAAAAAATAAATAAAAATAACTTTACTTGCAATCAATTTTTGTAGTCATATATAAACCAGAAAAAATCTAGTTATCATTTTTTCTAGACAGTGCTATAGACATTAAGTTTGTAGCTTAGATGCCACAACTAAGAAATCAGACAGGCCTTTATTTGTAATAATTTTTAATTTTGTGTCTCTATATGTAATAATTTTTATTTTGGGTTCTCATTTATAATTATTTTCATTTTTGGTCCTTTATATATCTTTAAATTTTGCCAAGTGCCTTTTACCATATATGGTTATGCAGTATAATATATGATCATGCAGTGTAAATACTTTTTATCCTTTATAATTAGTGTTGCAACTATTTATAATTATTTGTGTTATTTTCATACAGAGGATTGTCAAAACAATTTTTTCATAATATCTAAAAAAAGAAATTTGCATTCAGCTTTTTTATAACTAGTGCTTATTAGCTAGTAGCTCTAGCAAGTAGCTTCTAGCTAGTGGCTTCTAGCTAGTAACTAACTAACTACTACTAAAGTTGAGTACCAAAACCTTTTTTGCTAAATTCAAAGTTTTAGATTTTAAATTACTATATTTTTGCATAATAACACATATCTGTGCATTATTTTGAGCACCTGTGCATTATTTCAGGATGCATATGTGTGTTATTTTGAATTAATATTGCTACCAATTTAATAGACATGCACTTTATAC